ATATATGTGGACGTATCCACACTCATCGAAGAAGGATAATTGGTGTCGGATTCAGAATATATGTTTTGTTTACATCGGAGCAACAACACCAAAATGTACAGTGGCTTATCAGGTTAAGCTCGACAAGCATGAACCATCTATGCCACAAGAGACAATTATTACATCAAAGTTTTGCTGGAAAATGACACAGAAAAGTATATGCTTATAAGATTCTTTGTAGTTTTTCACGGCATTTAAACGTTTCTTTGTGGAAACCTGACAGTCAACATAAATTTTGATAGGCTATGTTTCTGTCCCGAACAGAGATAATCAGTAAGAGAGACATCTGCTATAGCATGCATCAGACGTGGAACTTTATTACAACCGATATTGCTCAAGGATATCATGAAATTGGGAAGGCCTTTTTCTAGACCCTGAACAGATTTCCTGAAAACATGAAAACTAATGTTAATCTAAGAATAACCGAAGCAGTTAAAAGTGATCGGTCCAATGAAAATGTCAATGTTTCCAACTTCAGGTCGACCAATCTCACCCTTGGTTGGCTCAGATATAAGTTTAGCCATTTAATCCGCTATGACCTGGCTAACTCACTCAGCAACAACATCCTACTTAACTCAAGACCACACCTACATAGGTAAGTTACAATACACATGTAGTGTAACTCAAGCAACACACCTATGGAAATACATTTTTCGTCCATCAATATTAAAGATTCAAACCGTAGATTCTAAAATTAATGAAGATAAAAAATGGGCAAAGTTCATAACCTCCCCAAACCCCAAACATAAATTTTGGCCCATTTTGAGATAGCCCAAAACTTCTTGGAATTGTCACATAACCCTCAAAACTTTTAAGGCTTCCAGAAAATTCCCTTAACGCTTGAAACTTTTTCAACATGCCCCATAATGGCATAATGGCTTTTTTCTGGAAAAAATTATCAAAAGTTAATAGCGGTTTTCTTACATAATGTTGAAAGTTTGGAGGTTCCATGGAAAATAACGCTGAAAGTTGGGAGGTATTTTGGAAAAGATTGGGGGTTTATGTCATCTCGTGGGAAGTTTATTGAAACTCAAAACATCATGGGAGTTCTGTGGACGGCCCAAAAGTTTTTGGGGGATTAATTGACAGTTTCAAAACATTTTGGGATTATTTAAAAAATAGGCCAAACAAAAAAAAAATTGGCAGGGGTGGCATGGGTGGGTGGTGATTTGGGTTTTTTGTTGTTGTTGTTTGGGTGGGTGGGTTGTGAACTTTATATGACATACATTCAATATTTATAGCTTATATATTTCATAACCTAGAAATGAAGGGTCTGTAACGATCTCACAGATCATCTTTTGTGAGTTGCTAGGATTATGACCATTTGATTATTGCCCCATTTGCATTTCAACGTGTAGTTAAAAATGAATGGTTTTGATTAACAATATTCATGGATAAATGTGTATATGTCATAGGTGTAGTTATACCTTGTGCATATTATAACTCAACATATATATGTGTGTATGTATGTGTGTATATATATGAGAAATATGGGTATGCTTGGTACCAAGCACAAATTTTGTGCTTGGTAGTGATGTGTCACATCCCCATCCACTCCATACCCATGTGAATGTGGTCCCAAATTTGAATGAGTGGAGGAGGATGTGACACCTCACTACCAAGCATAACTTTTTGTGCTTGGTACCAAGCATACCCATATTTCTCTCTCTCTCTATAATATATATACACACATATATATGTTGAGTTATAATATGCACAAGGTATAACTACACCTATGACATATACACATTTATCCATGAATATTGTTAATCAAAACCATTCATTTTTAACTACACGTTGAAATGCAAATGGGGCAATAATCAAATGGTCATAATCCTAGCAACTCACAAAAGATGATCTGTGAGATCGTTACAGACAGTTCATAAATCATAGGCACTCTTAAGGAAGAAAGAGAAGAAAGTACCTCCAATGCAGAAGCCACACGCAGGAGCGTGGCCTCGCCCCATGGTCGGCCTATTAACTGCATGCCTATAGGAAGTCCTTCTTTATCATGACCAATCTGGATGTTTAAGAGGTTGGAAAACAACAATGAGGGATCTAATTTTAACGGAACATAAACATAAATTTATATCAGCAATATGTAACAGATCCTGTAGTTTTCATCCTGGGTAATTCATCGTCCCAAATCAACTTTATTAAAAAATTGGAAGTTCTCTTAGATACAAATACTTCCCCAAATCAACTTATTAAACAATTAAGGCTCTCTTGGATATAAAAATTTGCCTCTATATCTACTCTTGTTGTTTGAGCTACTACTTCAGTAATAGAGAAATATGTTAGTGGCTTAAAGTTTACAAAGGGAAATAAAAGTTATAGAGATTGTACAACATCCATAACAGCCTAACGTGGAAGGAAATTAATTCTCATTGCTTTCCTCATTACATTTCAAAACACTAATCCGCTTCATTTCATACTTGGTTATTTATCAATAAATGGCTAACTACAAGATGACATCTTCAGGGAACAATTATGAGTTACAGAAGAAAGCTATTTTCACTCACAGGAACAGAAATAGCTGGAAGACCAAGAAGATTTCCTGCTAGTATGAATTGCATCAGGTACGCTGTAACCAAAGATCCAAATTATGCAAAGATAAATAATCGATACAGAAGCAAATCTGATCCAATATTTCAGTATAAACTAAAAAAACTATTTAATCTGTCCATGTAACACAAAACTGAAACAGCTTCATCCCCTATAAAAGGGTGAAAATAAACATGTTAGCTAAACTTAAGTAGGAAAAATAATGATAAGTGTATGTTCAATTTTTCAATCTGTCTGGTCATTCCCTAGAGCTGATGGCTAAATAAAGATAAAGAAAGTGGTTCCATTTAAAATTTATACTTCTTTTTATCTTCTCCGCTGATACCCATCTCATTCTCAAAGTCTACATCATAAGAACTATTACATCCAGGCAGGAAAACTATTCAAGAGAACATGATACACAGAAAAACTTGTTGGTTCCTGTTTATTAATTAAATAACCATGCCAATAAACAGCATTCTGGGGTTCACCTTGCAGTCACTGGCCATGTTTTCTATATACATAAACAGGGTAAATTTCACAAATCTATCATAGACTACTAGAAGTTTTACAGAATTAAACTATTTTGTTAAGAAAAATATAAAAATGACTAGGATTGACAAACATTAGTGTATGTGACATGTGATACATGACATGCTTTGCATATTTTTGCCCTTACTATAGTCAAGTTTACTTTGAGTTTGCCTTACATCTCAAATTTGTTTTCGCGCTTCCGGCTGTAAGGAATAGGATTGTATAAACCAACAAATTAACAACGGAAGCCAAAGAGCATTTTTTTAAAATAAAAGATAAGCCAATAAATCCAATTTACCTGACACCTCATAATTAGACTCCCCATGTTTGAGAGAACTTGATGGTATTTTAGGTGCTGTGATGCTGCAAATGACAAAAATATTGAATGTCAGATTGTGTCAAAAGGATTTATTATTGGGAACCCAAGAGATGAACGCTAGCCCTGGATCAAGGTGGGTATGAATGATAAATTGGAATTAAAACAAATGAAAACAACAGCCACCACAATAGAACCACCATAATTTAAAATAGTTCTGCCACAACACAGGCCTATGTCCACGCACAAGGAGAATTTTCCACTCTATCAACAGAGAAAATAACTATTCAACAACCCTCAAAACTTCAACAAAGCTTGAGGCTCCAACAGAATAGACAAATTGGCAAATACAATAGTCAGTTCACAAGCTCTATACAGAAAATCAACTTGCAGAAACTCCTTCTGACAAATACTAGAAGTCAATCAAGACTTCCAAAATGGATGTGCAATGTTGAACAAATTAACCCGAGGTGAGGTCTTCAAACGTAACCCCCCCACCCACCCACCCACCCACCCACCTTTTTTCCTCTCTTTCTATTCTTCATTTCTGTCAAAGACTCCACATTTGTAGAGGAAACTGACATAGAATAGATGAATGAATGCCCACTCTTCATATCCAACTTAAGTCCTTATATAAATTCAAGCCTCAACCCAAACACAAGTGGATTGCACCAAAATTATCCAAAGCCAACAATTATACGAAGCTATGAACAAAACAGGTGTACGGTGGTGCAACATTAACCTGAAGGTTTGTTTTATGCAATAAATTCAATGATAAATTACATGTTATCCTTTAGAAAGGCATAAAGGGAAATACCACTAAGATTACAACTAAATCATGCATATTTCTCTATTATTCATATTTTTCTTTTTCATTGTCACCATGGTAATATTGATTGCTAAAGCACAGTATATCTTGATTCTCTATGTTCACCATATCTCTAATTTCAGTTTCAACTAAAAAGGAAAACCTATGTGTTAGGCCTAGGGTTGTGCAGGACTGCAGGGAATTCGGTTACCTTATAGGAAAAAAGGAGATAGTAAAATGTGCATATTTCTCTATTATTCATATTTTTCTTTTTCATTGTCGCCATGGTAATATTGATTGCTAAAGCACGGTATATCTTGATTCTCTATGTTCACCAGATCTCTAATTTCAGTTTCAACTAAAAAGGAAAACCTATGTGTTAGGCCTAGGGTTGTGCAGGACTGCAGGGAATTCGGTTACCTTATAGGAAAAAAGGAGATAGTAAAATGTGCATTTTGAGGGTTCATTAGGTTTATGAAAGTACTTAGATCAGGGTTTGAGCCTTGAGGAGAGGGATATGAAAAAGAAAGAACAAGTAAAAATATTAATGGTCTATTCTTTAATCTAAGTGATGGAGAACGGAAGCATAGTGATCTATTGAGATGATTACTTGGATAAAACAAAATAAAAAAACAACTACTGCAATTGCAGTCTTCATCATTTAAGTAAAGAGTGAATACAAATGATGAGCTTCACACTCGGGCCCTTCACATTCCGGTAACTCACATGCCTAATACTAGTTGCAATTCACATGCAGGGTTGCTTACAAAGCATTCTTCTCTCCTCTCAAATAAAAAAAAGCACGAACTTATTCATAGAAAATGTACGAATATAATAAATCCTAACTAAAGAACAGGTGACATTAAATAACATTCTAACTAAAAGAACATTAGATAAGATCCTAACCAAAGAAAGATATAATATCAAACAAAACTATAAACAATTTATCTAATCCTATGAGGACTAAATCAAATCTGATTTTCATCAAGTATTTTTTCCGGATTCAAATCTGAAATCTATCATGCATCAAATCTCCCCTTGTTTGCCCTCGAGTTTAAAATTGCATAGCACTGTTGGACTTTGATTTGTTGCCTTGTTGATGTCGAAGCTGAAATGGTGGATCTTTTCAGTTCTTTACTAAATGATGGAGAATAGAGGCATGGCGATCTGTTGAGATGATTATTTGGATAAAACAACTATTGAAATTACACTCTTCATTTAAGAGAAAAAAAATACAAATGATGGGCTTCACACCTGGACACTTCACATGCTGACAATTTACATGCCTAATACTAGCTACAATTCACATATATACTTTCTCATAAACATTCTTCTCTCCTCACAAATGAAAAAAAAACAATCTTATTTACATAAAAACGATGTAGATAAAAAAATCTTAATTAAAGAAGAGAGAACATCAAATAACATCCTAACTAAAAAGAAGATAACGTTAGATAAGATCCTAACCAAAGAAAGAGATGAATCAAATAAACACTACTATAAAAAATTTATCAAATCCTAATAGAACTAAATCAAATCCAATCTTCATCAAATAGTTTTTTTCTAATTCATGTCTAAAATCTTTCCTGCATCACTGACACCACAATTAGCAATATTTCAGAGAAACATTATTTTAAAAAATTGTACATAATTAAACACGATGATATTTGTTAGCTATTAATAATTAAAGGAACTCATTGGTTATGTTAAATAAAAACATAATTAATAAAATTAAGTTAGATGTAAATTGACACTCCATGGACTCGCTAATTAATGTCAACTCCTGATTCTCTAGAATAGATAAAACGGATTTACTGTTAAGTCTATATTAGCTCAATTTCCAAAAGATTGCTTCTATATATCAAATGCAATGTTCAACTGTACAAGGAGTTTTGTTATTTCCTCCACTAACATACTTTCACACTCCCTCCAAACAAAGGAGAAAAAACTTCCAGGTACATGAGAATACATTGATAGAGTTAGTAGAA